TTATAAATAAACACTGCAGGGATATCCTTCTTCTGTTGCTTTTTATTCCTGGAAGTGAATTACAGTAAAAATTACTGTGTTACTTTGAGACAGGCTCATTTTTCATGAAAAAAATTAAAGGCAATTTCTTCCTTGGCTTTTCTTACCCTGGCCAATAGCAAGAATTAAGTAATAAAAAAGTTTCATTCTACCTTATTGGACTTTAGAGGTTTTGATAAGAACTATCTTTGAGTGTTACTTAGGTGATTTGCAGAGGTGCTAAAGCCAACAAAGCACATATCCAAATAAGGTGTTAGACTTTCCTTTTGGCATTTGGGATGCTGGTAAAATAGGCAGTAACAAAATGTCCCAGATCTCCGTAGGTTGCACTTTAAATTGTATGCTGAGCAAAATAAAACATATTCAAAGTTCAAGAGCTCCTGGCAAGGAAGGTTGAAAGCTGATACTGTACCACCTGCTTGCAGATGATACTGTTCTAGGCTTTCTGATTTTTCTTTTGCAAATTTATCTGCAATATGCTTTTTAAAAAATATTTTTAATGGGCAGTGATATCACATATTGCTTATATTAAAAATCTACCAACATGCCAATGGGCTGATAAAAGCCATCTAGGTCAGTGGGGATCCCTCCACTGATTTCCTTTGGCTTTGGATCAGGCTCTGTAGTTACAAATCAGTKTGTATTAGAAAAAGAAGAGGGCATAACTGAAGAGAAAATTGCTGAAACTGTTACAGGTCATCTTGGAGAGTTCTGAGAATGTGGTTGTATGTCTGAAYGGTTCTTGTGTTACAGTGTGTGTACTGCCATGTAAATAATTCCTTGTAATCTCCCTTTTTTTTTTTTTTTTTTTTTGAAGCTCGTGCCAGAGAAGACAACTGTGAAATCATAAGTTCTGATTTGGGGATACAGGCCTATATTTGCCATGCTGTAGCTAAAGACCTGTAGTAGCCAAGGAGGAATCTAACTTCTTGATTTTGCTCCTGTTTTTGTGCAAAGTCACCATAACAGCATCAGTCCTGAATCATACCTTGCTTTGTCTTACCTAATAGCATCCGTGACACTATTTCAAGGCACATAGGGTTCCTTGTTTCCTTTTTGGCCAGTAGAAGGAGAATGAATATTAAGGAAATAGCACGGGTTGCCTCACATGTCAAACATGACCATTATGTGACTCAGACCAATTGGAGCCTCTTGCCAAGACAGCTCCAGACCAGTTCCCTGAAACAGCTGTGCTTTAGTTGGGAGTTTTGCCTTTCCTGTTCTCTTAATGCATGSCAGGATGTTTAAAATATGAAATATTAATGAAAATATTTTATGTTTGGTTGTTTTTGTTTGTTTGTTTATTGTTAGTTTTTAAAGACTGGTGTTGTAATTTATTGTTGTCCCCAGAACTGCCACGACCTCAAGCAGACTTTTTTACCCTCTAGTAGGGCACACTGAGACATTTCTCCAACCATGCTTGGATGCTGCTTCTATCCAAGTAAATGCAAGCTATTTCRTTGTCTATCTGTGGGCATAGTACTAGTTTCATTGCAAATGCTCCTTTTTTATTATTATTTTTAGCAGTACTTTCATATCCTTATATTGATTTCCAATGACTGTCATCAAGATTGTCTTAATTAAAAAAAAAYCACTGCAACTTTAAATGCTATTCCAAAGACTAAATCCTGATAGTTACTCATGTTCAAGGTCACAGTAAAAGGCAGTAAATGTTGCCTTTAATGGTAGCAGTCTCCTTACTGCAGTGTCTTGGAGCCCTTGAGTTGGAGCAGGAAGTTCTCCACGTTGTGTGTGAAGTAAAAGGCCAAAACAACTATTGAACTCTTATTTATCTAGCTCCTTCCAATTACTTATTTTTCTGAAACTGCATATCTTATCTTCGACTTTCTGTGTAGTTGATCGATTGGATTTGTGACTTTCAATCTCCAAGCTGCTGCAATAAAATTATTTGTATAGTGCCGAGACAGATCCTGAATGCAGCAACATCAAATAAAAAGATTTTCCTATCACTAAAATGTATATCTGTGTTAAGGGAAAATTCTGTAGGCTTTCAGATATTTAAGTTGTTTCCRGAGCTGGTTTTTGTGCGTCACGAGTTAAGATGTCATTTCCATTAGAAATTTATCTTGGCATCCACGGGAAGCAATATTCTGCCTATGCTTTTGCTTTGACATCCCCTGCTTTGGTTTCAAAAAATTGCATATATAGACATCCACCTTGTTTTATAAAGGAAGGTCTTACTTCTGAGTAGAGTACGGAGCATCCCAACAGCATCCCGAAGGAAAGGATCGTTACGTTAATGCCGTGTGTGACCCCAGCAGGAAGATTTTGTAATTGGTATTCAGCCGAGGGCTCTGGTGTCTGCGCATAAGGCAGATGATATTRCAGTGCAGGGGTGAGGTTGACAAAGGGTAAGACTGCAAGTGCTTTGGTCATGGTAGTGAGGAAGCCGATGTTGGTGGGTACGTTTACATGGCTAAAGCAAGTTGTAGTTGCAAGGATGCAAGGGTCTCAAAAGCACAAATTTACCCTATTTGCTTGATTGCAGGCTTGTTCTTTTAATACATTTTACCAAGTGGCGATGAAATGTCATAATTCAACTTGGATATTTTAGATAATTAAATTTATTTTGAAAGTTGCTATTTGTTTTATTGAAACTTTTGCACTTGTTGTATACCCTACAATTTAAAGCCTTGATTGTTTAAATGCCTGCCTATATCAGATGCATATTTCTGACGTTTCCCCAGGGAAATCTGAATTTTTGAAAACTGTTTCCCAAGGTTGCCTCTGTTCAGAGACACACCATTCCCTTGTCCTGGGTATTGCTGCTTAGGGGAGAAGCTTCATTTTTAAGCAGACACGCTGCCCTCCACAGCACTGTCTGCAGCYAGCTCCACTCCTGAGGAAGCTGCTGAAAGATAAAATGAGCCCCAGGACTGCTCTTCCCCCTGGCTGAGTTTTCCAACACCAAATTAGTACTGATACCTCTTTTTCTGTTTGGAAAGTTCTGAAAAACGTCTCTAGGAGTTTTCTAGTGAACCAGAACTACCTATAGATACCTTTAAATGCACTTAGTGAGGGGCAGGTGTTCGTTTGTCGTTAAGAGATTCTTGTGTTTCATTCATTTGTTGATTTCTCAAGCCAAATCACAATGTTTTAGAATAGTTGAGTTCAGTTTTCTGATTTTWTTTAACTGTCTCTGGCAGAGGTTAGGAAGAGAACAGTCTGCTGTGTTGCRGCTGGAAGAGAGGTTTATGAAACTCGAAGCGCTGGCGAGGACTTGCAGCAGAAAATCCATGGAGGTTGTAGCTAGAATCAATTATTCAGCTCCAGCTAGAAGACTCCATTAGGAAGAGCTTCCGAATATACATTTTTCCTGCTCTCTATGAACTGTTGAACATATATTGCATCCCTTTTTTTTTTTTTTTTTTTTTGGGGGGGGGGGGGCAGTTCATATAGTAAAAGAAGAGGTGAAAAATTCCCTTTTTTTTAAACAATTCAAAACATTGTGGCATGTTTTTTTAAAAAGTTGGGAGAAAAAAAGCCAGCTGCCCCTTCCGGAGGTTATGGCATCTCTGTTATCTTTCTGATACTGTTCTGTCCTTTTTTATTTTTCCTGTCCAAGCGAATCTTTCTGTAGAGAAAGAAATACATTTTTGTGCCTTGGAAGCAACCCCAGTCAAAAGAAGGACCTGATAGGCAGTCATTTCTGCTGTGTCTCCAAACGCCTTTATGCCTTTTCCATGATTCCTCATATTTTAACAAATGGCACTTTTTTTTTTTTTTTTTTTGAGCTGGAAGTTTCCTGCTTCTAAACAGTTTCTCCACTGAAAGACTGAGCAATGCTCAACAGAAGGTGAACACAGTTGTTTCAATTCTCTTTCCAAGACAGGAGAAAGTAAATGTACTGCAAATGCATTTTCCATTTTATACATAAATATATACATGAAAACCATTCTGTCTCGGTTTTTGTACCCACTGCACTGAGGAGATGGTATGAAATATGCAATAATTTGTCCATGAGATTTTTTTTTTTAGCTTGTTATGTTTTGTTTTTACATTTTTTTCTTTTCACTTTTGTAGAAACTTGGGGAATTATTCCAGAACGTTTTTGGTATTCTATCCCCACACTGCAAACTTCAGTTTTCAGTGGCTGCAGATTCAGAAATACTCCCYTTACAAGGCAACGTTTAAGCTGGCACTTAAATTCCTTGGAATCCAATGCTACTGGACTTTTTAAAAAAGTTTTTTTCAGAAATTGAGTAGGTATATTAATAAATAATACAGGTGCTTTCAGCATTTATTTGCTTTCAGCAAAATTTGGCAGTGTCAGGACGTGTACAATAAGATATCAGAGACTGCTGAAGAAACGCCTATATCCTTCTGTTGCTTATCCAAGAAAAGCAATAGTTCTTTAGTGAAGAATAATCTACTTTATTAAATAATGGCCTATTTCTGCCAGGCACTGGGTGCCTTTCATTTCCTATGGAAGCTGTGAGGGATTCAACACATTGCAGGTCAGCTCGTGCTGAATACTAATGTCTTAATATTTGATAGTATTTATTTGTAAAATGAAAGCAGAATTATTTCTGGCCTTTGCCACCAAGTCGGAAGGTTAATTCCATGCCCATTTCTAATCTAGTGCATTAATTGCTCTAATTATGTGCAGGACAATAATTGCAGTTCATGTTGGAGAAATGAACTCCAGGTGATGCTTTGCATATACCACTTCCTGCTGATTTTTAAGTGCATTTGAAGCCACTGAATGTGTCTTTGTGGGTTTTGCTGTTAAAAAAAAAAATCTGTACTTCTAATTTTTTTTTTTCCAAAATGAGTGTAAGTATTCTGCCTAAAACCAGTGGGATGTTTTATGACATGCAGAGGATAAGAAATAAGTTTATCCATTTTTCATTTACTGAAGTGTTAATGTTCTTGACACCTTTTAGTATAACAAAAAGAAGTCAGTATGAAATTAATAATTGCTTTTGTTTCTGTTGTAGCTACGCTCTACACATCCTGTATTTTGCTGGGTATCTTCCTGAACAGCAGCGTACCGATATTCTTTGAGCTCTTTGTGGAAACGGTCTACCCTGTTCCAGAAGGAATTACCTGCGGAGTYGTTACCTTTTTGAGTAACGTGTTTATGGGAGTGCTTTTGTTTTTCCTCACGTTTTACCATACAGGTAAGACATACAAGCTACTTAGGAAACATAATTCTCCATGAAGACATACTCTTGTCAGGGAGAGGAAGATTTGTGCACRGAGGTTTTGCCAATAATCTAACCTGTGAAATCCCCCTGTGTATCCGTGAGGAAAAAGAATCTAATTGCTCTTCTGCAGATGCAAGCTAATGGCACAATAAAATGCTTTGGTGCAAGATATATAGTCAGATTCCACTTAAACTTTGCTGTAGCCAGAAACTATTAAGATACACACAATCATATTTTTATAAAGACCTGGATAATGCTGTTACCATTAATAATGTTTTTATCTATGCACATGCAAAGCCATAATGATGCCAATCCAATCTTGTGCTTCAGGGGATAAACTTCTTGCCCAGGGGAGGCAGAAGAGAAATGCCCTGTGTGTGTGCAGCGTGGCTGTGGTGGCTGGACACACTGCTGAGGAATCCCAAACCTGTTGTTTGGGATTTTCATCAGCTCTTGATAAACATCTGCATAGGCTTCTTCTCTCTTGTGATATTGGCTTCCTTGTAATTCCTGACCGTAACATTCACCTTTCTRTTAAGTAGATGATAAAACATACTCTATTTCTCCAAATTGTAAAATAAGAACCAATGTTGCTTTGAAATAGAAATGGCCTTTATTAATGCTTTTTGAAGTTGCAAATCTTTTTTTAAAATATAGTTTAAAATTTAAATGTTTGGATAAATGTTTGCTTCTTGAGCAAAATTTTTCAAACTGTTCTGCTTTGGAAGCATTAAAAGCTGATAACTTTTCAATTATAATTTGAAAATCATAAAATTTAACATTTATCAGTGATAATTGATGAAACTGGTAACTACAGTCAGTGCATCTTAACTCTTACAGTTCCTCCTACCCAAGAGGATACTGACAATTTTTAGAATAAATTGTGTTGCAAATAACGAGGGTCACTAATTTTCAACTTAGTGTTTCTTTCTGGCAAGTAATTTTTTTAAGGCTTTAATAAGATGCCTGCCTTTAATTAAAAAAAAAGAAAAAAAAGGCAAAAAAAAGCTGTAAATCATTGGAGGAAGTGGTTTTGAATGTGGCTCTTTTCAAGGGGGAGAATCCTTGTGTTTTTTGACTTTTTGTCCTTTCCCCTGCGTAAGTTGCGTTTCTTTCTTAGTAACATGTATTCAAGAAAATAGCATTGCTGAAGTCTTTAGTACAGTTAACTCGAAACATGAGGGAAAGTTCAGGTTCTGTAAAATACTCACTAAAAAACCATGTTCAGCAAAATTTATGTTTCTTCAGTAAATTAAGGCAGATTAAAAAAAAATAAAGTATTATGGTACACTTGTTTCTGAATAAAACTGCTAAATAGTAGTCAGGTATCAGGCGATAGAGAGGATTTATTGATTCTGAACAGACACTTTTAAGAGCAGTACGTTATGTCTAACAGCTAAAAAAGAGGCTTCTGGAGAGCAGCTTATGCAACTGGTTTTAAATTGAATTCATTGTACTAATGTATAAGGAGCTTCTGAGGCATTTAGTCTTCTCCCCTCCTTCACCCCYAAACCGTGTAGCAGACTTGATTTAAAAAGTCAAATTTTGCTTTTGCTTATATTTTTTCTTTATTTTTTTTCAACTCTCGGAAATCAAGTTGCTAATGAAGAGAGTTCCGAAGTCATTTATTCTTTATCAGTGATGATAGATTTTTTTTTTTTTTTACACTCCTCCATTGACACATTCAGTAAGAAGCATTAGCAGCAGCTAGTGGAATTATATATATATATATATATATATATGTATGTATGTATGTATTTATATATATATATATATATAATATGTATTTAAAAGCAGTTCACAAGAAGTCTCATAAACCACGTTAGCCCTTTGTCCACTGCAGAGTAAGAATACAACAATTTCCTTCAAACCCAAAAGTTTCTAACTTTGTGGTTTTAGTTTTGGTAGCTTTAACCATGTTCTGTAATTCCAAAATTGAACCTGTTTGTTGGGTTTTTTTTACAGAATTGTCCTGGTTCAACTGGTGCCTGCCAGGGTCGTGTCTGCTCAGCCTGCTCCTCATCCTGTGCTTCAGGGAATCCTACGACAGACTCTATCTCGACGTGGTCGTCTCCGTTTGATAACACAGCGCGGGAAAGGTTTGGAAGAGACCAGAAGCCAGTTCTGTGCTCTGCACCTCTGCCTGGATTTGCAYAGCCAGGAAGAAGAAGACAACAAGAAATGGCAAGCCTTGAAAGTGGTTTGAAAGAGCAAAAATGAATGACAGGTGGTTTCTTACGTTCCGGACCGCCTTGACTTGCATTCGTTATAAGATAAATGTGGAACCGGAGTGGCGGTGAAGCTGCCTGAAGTGCACAAGTAGAATAGAGCTGATGTGCAGGTTCTAGGGTCAGAACCTGGGTTCTTTATTTAAAAGGCTGTTCATGTAGCAGTGAAACGTACAGTTCTGTGGGTGTGCGTGTGTGTGTGTGTGTGCCAGCTCGAGGTTGCATAGGTGTCTGTACACACCAGGTACCAGTGACCTTTGAGTCTTCTATCAGAATAGGAATAGGGAATAATCTTCACAAAAGGAAAACTTTTTTTTATAAAAATCTGTGTTTTAAAATACTTGTCATTTATATGTCAAATATCCATATAAATAATGAAGCTAAAATAATTTGGTGCTTGTACACTACATTTACATCCTAATAAAGTTATTTCTGATATAAGACGCTGGTACCAGGGTTTTTAGCCATAGTAGGTGTCCCAAGCAATCGTGGCAGTGTTGCTGTAGGTGTTTAGCTGTCCCCCTGGAGCTCGTGTGTTCTGAGTGACAGCGATAGCTGCCACCAAACCTGACCTGCACAGGTAGGCAGCAGCCTCTGAAACACCAGCGGGTCCGGTGTGTCCGCAGCAGAGCACCTGCGCTGTCCCAGATGTTCATTACAGAGTCACTGTTGGTGAATGTTGCTGTGGGAAAGGCCACCACTGTGYTACCCTTTGGTCCCCTGTCTCCAGAACTACCTTCCTTACCCTGAAGACCTGTTCGTGCCGCTCAGCAAGGGTGGTGTGGACGTTTGTCCTGCTGCTTCTCTTCTGATACTCTAAGGTCTGCATATTTTTTAGCATTAGTTTACAGCTGAGGGTGCCTAAACAATATAGTTTGTTAATCTAAGTCTTTAAAAAATATTTTTTGAATTTTTTTCTAGTTAATGAGGCGCCCTGATGGCGGAGTGACAATGGGAAATGACTTGAGTTTTGGCATAACTTGGGAAATATAATGCCACTTCTTTTTATCAGCACTAATTTGTGGTTTTTCTGGCCCTTACTTGAAGATAAATATTGAAGACACTTKGAATAGTTTTTTAATTCAATTTTAAACCTGCTAATGACTTCTTAATTATGTACTTGTATTTCAATTGAGCATTACTTACAATATTTCCATTTGTGTTCTATGCTTCTTCAGACGTGTGTGTGTGATTTATATCTATGTGTTCACAAGTAAAGCTTATATATATATATAGTGTATATATATAAGTTACATAAGGGGGTGTGTTTACCCGGGGTTACTGTAAGCGATGGTGTTTCTGGAAGGTGTTAGGGCCACCAGCTGCAGCTGTGGCTGGAATCCCTGCGCTCAGCGACCCGGCCTGTTTTCCCTCCCCTTTCCTGAGGGGATATTTCCCTCCGGCAGCGCTTTGCAGCGAGGGCTGTGACCGAGGACGCTCCGGTGGGCGCTCGACTCGGGCACCATYGGCGCCTCCGGGTGCCTTCCCGAGCCACATTCCAGCCACAGTCACTGAACCGCCCTCGGAAGGGTCCCGGTGGTGGCAGCCCCTGCCGTGGGGCCGGAGCGGGGCCGGGGCCACGGCACCACGGGCGGCCCACGCGCCCCACGGCTCTCGCGGCGCTGCCGCCACGGCCTGGTGGCCCCGCGGAGAGCAGGATCGAGCCCGGCGGGCTCTGTCCGCAGTGACATTTCCCCGTCCTTTCCGTGTCCCTGCTTTAACGTGCGGAGCCCGCGAGGCCCCATCCGGCCGTCACCCGGCGCTCCTCGTGCCGGGAGCAGCTCGGGATCTCCGCCGGGTCCGGGCTCCGCGCACGGCCGGGCCGAGGGGCGAGCGCCGCGGCTCAGGTTGGCGCTGCCCTCCGGAGCTCGGCACGGGGGCAGGAGCTCGGTACCCAACGAGGGCCCGACACCGACACGCACACGGAGCCGCGCGCACACGGAGCCGCGCGCACACGGAGCCGCGCGCACACGGAGCCGCGCGCACACGGAGCCGCGCGCCCCGTCCTGCAGCCGGCCCCAGCGCCCCGGGGGCTGCGGGCTCCGCGGGGTTGGCCGGGGCACAGGCTGAAATTCCAGCGCGACGCTGCTTGCTCGGACGGGAGTGTCGGACCACAGCCCTGGGCACTGCTAAGGATCCGTGGCCCCACGTTGCGTTTCAGTAATAACAATAACAATTTTTCCGAGTGCTGCAGGGCCCCTTGAATAATTGTGCTGTGTTTTGTACTGAAGAGGCAAGGAAAGATGCTTTACAGGGACCGTGCTCTCTTTAATAGATCTTGGGTTTAAGCGGGTCTCTGCTGGGCTGCTCCTCAGGTTCCTGATGGAGTCATTGATAACTGAGCTCAACCCCTGGTTCAGCTGCTGCTTCCCTCTCGCTAAGCCAGAGYTGTGTTGACTTTTGTGCTGTTTTGGAGGAAGCCAAGGTTTAGACAAGCCAGGCTCTGCTTAGAGCCCCGCTTACTGTAGCTCTCCACTGCTTTTAACCATCCATTTCCCTTGGATTCCTTTGCCTTTCTCAGCGGCCTTATCAGTGGAGGCAGCAGCTGCTGCGGGTCGGGAGGTGGAGTTTTAACCCGGAAATTTCAGCCCTTTGTGCTTCAGGACAGGTGAAACGCTAGTGAGCAGAGGAGAAAATCTCTGTCCTGAGTTTTGACAAGCAGGCAAACGCTTGTGCGGATGCTCTGGTGTTTCCCTGAGGATCACGGCACCGTTGGAGCGAAACGTCCCAGGCGAGTGGCTCCCACGGGAAGCGTCTGCAGGGAGATACAGGTGGGAGCCGAGGCCGAGGCGGGAAGGGCCGCGGCGAGGATCTCTGAGTGCTTGGCCTTCTCGGCGCCCCCTTCCCTCTGTGCACGTGTGAAACGCCTCAGCTTGGCCCCCTCGACATCCAGGCTCCTACTTTGAAATCCCGTCGGGAAGTTTGGGCTCTCTGTGTCCCCGAGCTTGGGCCTCACCACATTCCCAGGCCGGGAACGTTCCCTGCCGCCCCGCAGGACGGGACCACGTTGCTGCCCTGTTGGGTGGCTGGTGTGACGCTGCCTGATGTGCCAGCGCCTGCCAGCGGCCTCAAGGACGAGGCCCTTGGCTTTGCTTTGCGCCTGCGGCACCGGCTGCGCTGGAACCGCTGCTGCTTTGGCACTCGGCTCCAAGGGACRCGCGCAGGGGCGCCGCCAAGGCGCGAGGAGTGCGGGACTTGCTCTCTCCAGCGAGAGCCTGTTCTTTCCTGGTGCCAAAAAGTGCGTTTCCAAATGTGGCCGCCTCCCCCCGTGCTGGATCCTGTCGGAATTCTGATTAAAATCTCTTTAACACCTTCAGATGTGCGTTGTAGAAATAAAGGGGCTGATCATGTGGAAAGCCCAGCTTAGGGTTGGGGAGTTTTAAATTACATTAACATATAATAAGAATTCAGAGTTTTATGTGTTGGAGTGCGTCTTTGTAAACAATCCTCAAGCTGTGAGACTGCTCAGTTTTCCTGGTGTTTGTATGTGGTTTACTTTTGTAAATTTTTAATGATTTGATAGAATTTTATTTTCGGGCAAATTCTACTTTTTGTATGCACTGTTTGGGTGTGATGTATTTTTATTTTTCAGAGAATACTGTTGAAACCTGTATGTGCTCATGGACGTAACACATGGATCAGGTCATTCCTTTGGGAACGGGGCTGGTATCGGGCACGCGTGCTGCTTGGCGGGCCGGGTGCTGCACGTTAAAGGGATGACTCGAATCTCTCGCCCTTACTGTTAATTCTGAGAGGGGACGGGGCCTGTGAGAAACCGCGGGGCTGGGCGCGTGGAGGTGACGCTGGATGGCCGGGGAGGTGGGATAAGGGGAAGGGGTCTCCCTGGACAGGCGTTGGGGAGCTGCTGGATGCGGCCATTGGAATGACCAGGGCTGGGGCCCAAACGCGTCCCCGCGTGGGCTCCTGTCCCACCAGTGACACCTCCTGCCCGTCACTTCCTAAACCGCRGCTTTGGTGGCCGTTTTGCCACACACAAGGATAAAAGGGAGTCACAGGCCCCACACATCTCAACTGTTTTGGGASAGAGACCACAAAACATCCTTGGGAATGAGTGGCCTCGCCTGGACTTTCCCTTTGCCCCTGGGGCACCGCTTGCTCTCCTTGCTCCTTTGGGTGTTTTGTGGTGGCTCTTGGCTCCCTTGAGGCATCATCTTGACCCCCATTTTACATCCACGTTCGGCCTGGGAGTGCAGCAGGCCTTGCTGGCTGCTCCCATTAGTGTTCCAGTTGGTGCTTTGGGAAACTAGAGCCCCAATAACGACCTGCTTTGTGTTTAGCCGTCATTTAGCCGAAATGGATTCACGCTGGGCTCTCTTGATGGGTGTTTGTTTTCTTTGAACGTCTCTTGAGCAACATCCTGACCCTCCCGAGGCCTCAGGGCTCTGGAGAAACCTGCCAGCCCCTGCATGGGGACCCGCTGCTCTCGGCCACGGCCGCTTTCCGGGCTGTACATGGGAGCCGAAGGCTCTAGTTGTATTTATCCTGTAGGGATCAGGTTCTGGTTGTATTTATCCTGTAGGGATCAGGTTCTGGTTGTATTTATCCTTGCAGCGATACAGACGCTTCTCCCACAGAGAGAGCAGGGCCTGTCTCAGATCCCCGTCGTGGTTCTAGGCCTGGGCCGCCCCTCTGTGCTCACTGTCCTCAAACAGATTTCAGCCCCGTTTCTCSTTTGTCTCTGCTGTTGCTGTATTTATCATTTTCCCCTGCATTTCTTGTGCGCAGTCCCTTGGTTTCGTTGGTGCCAGGGAGGCTCTGCCGGCTGCGGCGCAGAGGGACCCTCGTGTCCCCATCACCAAAGCGGGACCTTCCCCAGCTTTGGCTTCATGGAAAGCAGCTGCGGGAGCCACTGGGGTAGCCAGGTGCTGCCGGTGACTTCCCACGGACAGGAGCGATCACGAGAACAGTGCAGGTGGGAAAGGTGAGAGGAAAAAGTGCAGTGAGGCTCCAAGGGAAACCGTGACGTTAATGACTCCCATTAGCGACTAAAAACACTGATCTGATGTTTTTATTTRAAGGGCATCGGAAATGGCTTCCAGGGTGAAATTTTGCTTGGATAGAGTGCAGGGAATGTCTTGATGCCAAACCTGTTGAAACGGCCTTGGTTAAAGTGCAGAGTAACTGAGGGGGGAAAAAGAAGCAGCCAATCTTGTTCACAGCGAGTTTGTTTTTAGTGATCTACTTCTGTATTACCTTTTAATGGTCTGCATTGAAAAGAAATTCCTGTATGCACACTTGAGAATATGAAAACACCCAAATGATAGCCTGTGATTTAGTGGGATTAAAGTATTATGTATGCAGGTGTAGCACGTCTCAGGTTATTAGTAATCCAATCTATTTTTTACGACATTATAGTGTAATTTTCTGCATAAAACTTCAATGTAAGTCTTGGGCTGTATTGGAACATAAACTAAAATGTTCCCGACTCTGTCACTTCCCGTGGTCTTTACTTTGATTAATAAATGCAACAAGAGCTATAACGTTCTTCACTAAGAGGCTGTGATCATCCTTCAATCAAAATGTGTTCCTCATTTTATTGTAACTTTTCACAGCAGTAAGTAACGCCGGAGAAGGCCCTGGGCTAAGGTTTGTGCTGCAGCACGTTCACCCCAGTGGCTCTGCTGAAGCCGAACGAGGTTTTGCCTCGTTGCAGCCAGCTCACCTGCTTGACCCGGCCGTGTCCTTGGGCCTTCACGGATGCAACCGTGGATGCGAGGAACGAGACACAAAACCGGGCTGGGATTTTGCACCCCARTCTGCAGCGAGCTCTGCTCTTTGCTCATTGCATACCTTACTCAGAAGTAAGGTGTGTAATTTATGGGGCTTTTCCCAAAGCCCCGGCCCGTTGGTATTTAGCTCTGCTCCACTCTGTCAGTAGCGGCTTGCGCTGGAGGGGAGGGAACTGCAGCAGAACTGAACGTATCCCCAGTGATGGTATTTTGCTGTYGTCTCATCTACAATCAGGACAGGCAACATCCAAACTGGTGCCCGACAGAAACGTCCCCCGTGCAGGGCCCGCCGGGGGCTCCGCG